CTGGCTACACCAATTCGCCGGTCGATCTCTTCCTCCAATTTTCCATCACTAGTAAATACAGTTCCGAGGTTCTTGAACTTCTCCACATCCTCCACTGCCTTCTCGTTAATCTGAAGAGAGCAGCGGGCAGGAGAACGAGAAAGCACTAGGCTTTTCGTTTAAGATGCGTTCACACGCATGGCGGTCACGTCGCACTCGGCTGCGATCCTTTCTAAGGAGCACTGAAGATCAGTTTCAGAAGATGCTAATAAAGCAAGGTCGTCTGTAAACAGCAACTAAATAAATTTTTAATGCGCTATTTATTAATTTATCATAATATTGTTGTCTCTTATTGTATCTGTTTCAGAATATACGTCAGTCCTCTTTTTCCAAAATCTTCATCAGCTAAAAGCCAATCTGATTCTGATGATAAATCAGACTCCTGTACTCATTTCAAACGCGACCTCATTGAGTATTTGTGTCAGTATCAAAATCGAAATCTGGCCCATTGGATCGAGGTTGTCCGCGAACATGACATGTCTTCTGCTAAGTAGGTAATTTGCATGACTTTACCTATTTAATGTCAGATTTCAGGGTGTATATCGTTGCCTCCGTGCCTGGCCGTCACACAGGTGAAAACATACATCGATGGGGTCACATGAAGCTTCGGAGCCTGCTGAAAATACATCTAGAAAATTCAGAAGTGAATGAGTGGCCATTGATTTGCCAGTTCAGCAGCATTGGTTCCTTGGGTGCGTCTCCGCACAATTGGTTGCTTGGAGAATTTCTTTCCAGCATGACTTCTTCTACTTCCAAGTCTACCATTTCATCTTCGAAGCTCAAACTGGTGACAGACATGTCAAACAACTTTTTAATTATAATCTCATGGAAAGTCTTGTTTGCAGATTTTTCCTTCGGTGGAAAACGTAAGAAACAGCCTTGAAGGATATGCTGCCGGAAGTTCTTTACCTTATAATAGTCGAGTAGCCGAAAGGCAGCCTTATTTGCGCAGATATCTCAATCAGTGGAAATGTAGCAAATTCAACAGAGATTTGGCTTCGCCTCACATCAAGACATACCTCCGTTACAACCCTTTATGTACTCGCGTTGCCTGGATGCTCTTAACAAGGTTAGCTTTTTTCATCAGCTGATTAATTGGTATAGTTATCCTTACCTAAGTGTTTGAGTCAGTTATTCTTTAGTCCGGGCGAATAAGCAAGCCGATGTACTCAATTTCTTCCTTCAGATGTGAAGGGTAGAGAGACGTATCACTGTACTGGGTGCAGCAAGTAAGCAAAGGATTTGGCTTTATTCCTTTCCATAAGAATCAAGCGCGTACAGGGAACTTTGGCCTGCTAATTCGCGAATGATTTCGACTTAACGCCATTAACTCTGACGCGGTAAGCGCTATCAGAATATAGTGATTGGATGGCCCGTAGCAACTGACCATCGGTCTCGTATGTTCGCAGGCATGGCCACAGACTGGTGGATCCGGTAATAAGGTTTCTCTAAGTCAACAAAGCCCGTGTACACCGGATGGGCGAACTCCCACGATTTCTCAAGAATCTGGCGTAGGACAAATATATCCTCAAAGGAGATTCTACCTGACTGGAAGCCACGCTCTTTTTTATATCTTGGAGGTTGTTATTACGCGCCACCTCTTTTCTGGGACCTTTGGGTAGACTTTACCTGGAAAGCTGAATGAAGTCTCGATAATTGGAGCAATCCTTGTGATCTCCCTTCTCGAGCAGGGGTATAGCAACCCATGTCTCAAATCTGCTGGTGTCTTCCCAGTTGTCACTACAATTTCACAAACAGGAGTAAGATAGTACGTGCCCTGTTCGCTAATGCTTTGAACATTTCAGGGCGGATTTCATGAATTCCACTAGTCTTTCCACTTTTCAAGATTTTTACAGCTCGTGTAATTTCATCTGCAGAAACAGTAATATTTATTCCTTGATGCTCTACAGGCAAGTGTTCCTCCGGTTACTCAGGGTTAACAGTTCCTCAAAGTACTCTCTTCACCGCCGGAGGATGTCTTTCTCCTCGATAAGAGGGTGTCCGGACCTGACCTTCAAGATTCTTAGCAAAGTACTCTCTTCACCGCCGGAGGATGTCTTTCTCCTTGGTAAGAGGATGTCCAAACCTGACCTTCAAGACTCTTCGACTGCCTTTCTTTTCACCTCGGAGTCGGCGAACGGTTTACGAGAATACCTTGTTTGTCGTCTGGAAATTCGACATCTTATCGAACTTCTCCTTGGATTCAGCCTTGGCTTTCGCTGCCGCCTTTCGCGTTTTGACATATGCGTGCGAGTAGAAGGCTCTTTGCTTCCAAGCCATTTCTCGAACGCTGTTTTTTTCTCTTTCTCGTAATTTCTGTTAAGTAGCTTCTGTCAGGGGCTGAGCAGGCTGCTATATTTTTTGTCCGCGGTGTGTAAATTTGTTTCTTTTTGCTTTATTGGGTTTTAATCTGGCATTCATGCAAAACCCTTTGCTTGCTTTAACTGAGGAATCAAGAATATGATTTAAATACAGGACTGAGTTCAGTTAGACTGCTGACTTGTTATTAAGTGAAGCGAAGTCAGGTTATTATAATTAGTTCAAATCATATATTTCCACTCTTTATTTTCCAGCGCGAACTTGTCGAAAGCGGCTTGGGGTGTCTTTGAGAAAAACGGATCTCAGTTGATGATTCGTTCGTACGAACTTGGCATACTGTTTCTACCTCATCAGTTTGTAATGATTTCTATTTTATATCAACTTTTACTTATTATTTCTTTTATAGAACCTGTCAAGTTTTGGAATAAGAACTGACGTAAGAAATAACAAGGCTAACGATATTTTAGTGCCAGTCGATCTGCCTCCTTGCCCTTATGATAAGACCGGTATATTTCTACTTTTTACGGCATATAATTAATTATATTCGAAGCTGTTGTAGACAAGCCATGGTTGGTTGATCTCAAGTATTTGGAGTCAGATTCTAATGGAAACGTGTGGAATCAGTAAATTGCATTTGTTTTATATCCAAATTCTGTCTTTGTAAAAACAAAATTATTGACATTCAAGTAAAGTCAAAAAATTGGGCACTGGCTTAACGTTTGTCACAAATCGACTACTATTATAAATAGCAAGGAAGAAAGTAATGCTTATTTCTTTAAGTTGATTTAAGGAACGTGTCTACGTTGAGCGCCGTCGTTATATATCATTGCACTAAAAAAAGTGTTCTCATATTAGACAAATCCCCTTCTCAACTCCAGGTCAG